CTCAAATAAATCAATAAATAAAAGATAATTGGATTAAAAAAAAAAAAACACATTGGTTTTATACAGCGCTTTTTTGGACACTCAGACGCTTTACTTTATTCATTCACTCCATACACGGTGGTGATAAACTACAACAGTAGCCACAGCTGCCCTGGGGCACACTGACAGAAGCGAGGCAGCCAGTCTGTGCCATCGGCCCCTCCGACCACCACCAACCATTCACACACACACCAGACTCATTCTAGGCAATGGGGGTGAAGTGTCTTGCCTAAGGACACAATGGAAGTTTGGCACTTTACAGCCACAGCCGCCCCACTGTGGCCTCAGGGATTACTTTAATGCATTTTTGTAGATACATACTTAAACAAGCAAAAAAAACTAAGAATAACAAGGAATTGAATTAGAACTAACCTAAATTCTAGATGTTGCTTGTTTTATGGTGGGGATACATTTTTAAACAAACAAGCAACAAAATGATTGCAAGGAATCAAAATAAAACTATCTTAAAAATTCTAATTTTTTCAGAAGTTGATTTTTTTTATATAGTAGATACAAAACAAACAAGCAAAAAACACAAGGGACAAAACTAAAACATGAGCCCTAACAGTGAAGAAGCACTGGTAAAGACCCACAGAACCATCGCAGCCCTCTCCACGGCAACACACAGGGACAGAAAAGTGACTTTGTTCAATTTTCCATCTTCACAAATGGAAAAAGCGTGTTCGAAATGTTGTAATTGGTTGTGGTTGCGGGGCGTGAACGTGTGTATCTCACATGCATATCTCCATTTTGTCCATTTACAACATTGTCCCTCAAGAGTTGTGTGACACCGTCTTTGTTCGTGATAAAAACCAAGAAAAAAAAAAGTGTTATTGTTGTGTGTTCTGAGAGTTAGCATGAAGCCGCAGCACCACATGGCTGTGCACGCGGCATGTGTGTTACGTCCGCACGAACAGGCCTTTCTTCAACTGTAAAATCCAACTCATTGAATCCATAGAGGATCATGGCAAAAACACACACACACACACACACATACACATACGCATACACACACACGCACACACACACAGAGTGCACTGGGTTGTATTGTGTTGCGTTGCTGCTGCCACAAACTTCACGGTCATTGGAGGAATTCCCACACAGACACATCTGCCAACCCTGTACAGTTGTTCATGTACAGTAAAAAAAGGTTTTCACACCGATTTAAATTATTAGTTTTGAATTTGTACATCACATATCTTCACAATCATGAATATAAAAGACTAATAACAAGTACTCGGTTCCAAAAGGGCTTGGATGAAGTAAATGCGGATGATGTCGTCTCCATCACGCCTGCCGCACAATGCTAGGCTATAATATTATCATGCAAAACCGCAAAAACACACGACTAATAGTGCATTTTGTTTCTTTAGGCGCTTTGATAGACGCTCAAGGCCTTACATAACAAGTCAAAAGTGCATGTACAGACAGTTAAAACACAGGATAGTACATTAATAAGACCAAAGACAAAAAAAAAACACACTCAGACCCCACACAGCCCCAAACACTCTCCGACCCTACACCTCTGGCTCTGTTCGGATGCACCACTCTCTCTGTTTTCTACTGTTTTTCTTCTTCGCCCAAGTAGAACACAATAAAATAACTAGATTGATTACATAGTTCCATGATTGGACATTTAGGAATCCCAGGTTTAAAACTAAAAAACCCACATCTAATCTTTACATGCCAAGAGTGAAAGTAAATCCACCCGGGAAAAATTGCGCTAATTGTGTTAAAGGTTTCAAGCTAAATTTGTAAAAATAAAAAAATATAGAGTTTGAATAGCGATTATGCATGTGATTTGTGGTTGCCTACGTCTCTCAATGAAACAAAAACAACTCTTGTATTGATGTTTTCACGAGGGAGCAGTTGGTAAATTAAGTGCTCAGATGCATTCAGGCATAAACAGAGACCGGTGCCAAAGGCTAATGACAGCGGAAGTCGAGCGGCTAGCCATACGAACAAAACAAACCTGTACCCTTCTTAATCTGAAAGTTACAAAGGCGTCAGTAGATCGGTTGGTAGAGCATTGGCCTTTGAGCCAGAAGGTCGAGGGTTCGAGCCCACCACAAGACTTTCTCCACCGACTCCCACTGATGTCTGCTGTCGTTGTGTCCTTAGGCAAGACACTCCCCCCCCCCCATTGCCTAGAATGAGGGGGCCAGGTTCAGACGTCCCATTGTCGTGCCGTGAAACAGACAATGGGACAATGGGTGAATAGCAATGAACAGACTACAGTCAAAATCCTAATAAGGCAGACAGATAAAGTAGGAAGGAGAAAAAGATAGTGCTTACAGTCTTGCCCGTGACGTCACCTAAAAATCCACCCACATGAAAACACTTGTAAAACATTTGCATACAAAAATAAGCAATAAGAGTCATTTTAATGCCAACCAACAAGACACAAACAGTTACGGAGACGTAGGACACACCTGTCTCGTACCTCCATCCATCCATTTTCTTCCCCTTAATCCATTTCTGGGTCGGGGGGGGGGGGGGTGGCAGCCAGAGCTGGACCCGGTACACATAGCACCAGCCCCCCACTGATCCTCCTGCAGGTGGTGAGTCCACAGGAGCTGAGATCTTTCAGTGGGGGCTTTTAGGCAAAGTGGGGTTAAGTGTCTTGCCCAAGGACACAACAACAGCAGTCATCAGTGGGGGCTTGAACCCGCAACCTTCAGGCTCAAAGGCCAATGCTCTACCAACTGTCTCATACCTATCCCGTCTAATTTCTCCGGTAGTTACCACCAGATCGAGCCGATGTCTTTGCATGCGTCTCCTAATGGCTGCGTAGTAAATTTATAATAGTTACGATGGTTAAAAATACATAGGGTTATCTATAGCACGCACACATGCTGTAGATAGTGTCATGACATTTGTACCAATTCGTCTACTTTGAATAATTCAGCTTCAGAGTCAAGGCAATCCTTATTGACGTGATCTTAATGTTTTATCTACACACTCTAGCGGGGGATTTTCACTTTTAGTTTGCAATGGGAGTCTTGTTTTGTTTGTTTGTTTCGCCGCGTACATACACCCTGGCATTTTAACATCTCGCAAAAGACGGCAAAATAGTTTACAATTTCCAAGTTTGTTCTTCAGACGCCGCGCTCCCAGCATGGATCTCGAGAAATCACAATACATTTAGACGAGGGCGGCGTTAAAAATACACAACCGCTTGGATTTCTGATTTGTTGAACCGCGTGTGCTGTCTGCAAACCATTTTAATATTTCATGGGCCGGTGTTGTGTATTGGCCTTGTGTTCTAGCAGCTTGTTGCTTTGTGTAGGTAATAACTGTCCCTGAATCGCATTAATGTTCTGCATATGCAAATGATAACGATAAAGCAAAAGTACAATTATACTTTTTCTTTCAGAGGCGCTCTGTGATGTTGTTCTGGCGACGTTCCAGCGCCTGCATATTGGTTTTCATTATAGTGTTGGCTTCAATGTGTCACAATGTCCTAGAATGATCTATGCTGCTGTCATCGGACTACTACTTCCAGTACTACTACTTCTGAATGACTACTACTAACTTCAACTACTACTATTGCTACAGCTGCTACTACCACCGACTTCAACTAAAATACTTCAACTAAAATACTACTACTACTGCTACTACTACTACTACTACTACCACTTCTACTACAACAACTGCTGCTGCTACCTCTATCAAAACTTATACTACTGTTTGTACTATCACTACTACTGCTGCTGCTTGTACTACTACTACTGCTGCCGCTTGTACTACTGCTGCCGCTTGTACTACTACTGCTGCTTGTACTACTACTACTGCTGCTGCTTGTACTACTACTGCTACTGCTTGTACTACTACTGCTACTGCTTGTACTACTACTGCTACTGCTTGTACTACTACTGCTGCTGGTACTACTACTGCTGCTGCTTGTACTACTACTGCATCTGCTGGTACTACTACTGCTGCTGGTACTACTACTGCTGCTGCTTGTAGTACTACTGCTGCTGCTTGTAGTACTACTGCTACTTGTACTACTACTGCTGCTGCTTGTAGTACTACTGCTGCTGCTTGTACTACTACTGCTGCTGCTTGTACTACTACTGCTGCTGCTTGTACTACTACTGCTGCTTGTACTACTACTGCTGCTTGTACTACTGCTGCTGCTTGTACTACTACTGCTGCTGGTACTACTACTGCTGCTTGTACTACTACTGCTGCTGCTTGTACTACTGCTGCTGCTTGTACTACTACTGCTGCTGGTACTACTACTGCTGCTGGTACTACTACTGCTGCTGCTTGTACTACTGCTGCTGCTTGTACTACTACTGCTGCTTGTACTACTACTGCTGCTTGTATTACTACTGCTGCTGGTACTACTACTGCTGCTGCTGGTACTACTACTGCTGCTGCTTGTACTACTACTGCTGCTGCTTGTACTACTACTGCTGCTGGTTGTACTACTACTGCTGCTGCTGCTTGTACTACTACTACTACTACTACTAATACTGCTGCTAGTACTTCTACCATTACTACTACTGCTGCTGCTACAACTACTGTGGCTAGTGCTACGAATGTTACTACTACTTTTATTTTTATATATCCTAGCCCGGAGTTACTACTACTACTACTACTACTACTGAAGCCCAATCTTCACTCTATACATGTTATGTTGGTATTTACTTATCTGGATGGGACTGGGTGTATTCACAAACACAGCACCACCTGTAAATAAACCAGATTCGAGCCTGTTTTGTTGCTCATTACTCTCTGTAGTAGGGAGTGTGGAGTTTGCATGTTCTCCTCACGTCGACATGCGATTGGATCTCAATGCATCATGTATTTAAATCTCCCCACTGTGGGATGAATAGAGGATTTCTTATCTCATCCTTGTGACAATTTCTCCAAGGAATCTCCCATTTATCCTGGACCAGACTTATTTCCCACCTGCATTAAGTAATCTTAGCGGAACACCTGAGCGGCTCCTCTCAGAGTTCCCCTCCGCTCACATCCCAGAACTGTGAGGATTTTGATGTTGGGATGGAAAAGTGGGTCACAGCCGCTTTGCTTCTGTGCTCGTCTGCCAGCCGTACAAAACAGGATAGCAGTCTGATGTCCACAGCTTTCGGGAGCAAGCTGCTGGTGTTGGCCGCAGCGGTGGAAGATGGCCCGCGGGTGCAGATCTCTGACAGGCCGGACTTCTGTGTGCGCTCGCAGACAAAGTCACTCCACACATAACAGACGTCCATTCATGGCTACAGGTCCGGAGTGTACTCTCTCTACCCCCGGCGCCAGCTACAGACTGGAAGATCAATGACGAACACTTAAGATTTACTGCGTGCAATTATGACAAGAACAAAATAAAAAACTAACAACAATACATGCCAACAAATTAAGAAATCATGACTACTGCATCTTCGGGTTGTTCTGATATTAAAACATTGGAAATTTCAGATGGTTTTGACTGTGTTTCTAATGGTGATTTTGGGGTTTTATGTGATGATTTGAGCTTGGTGTGATGTTGACTGTGAAGCGCTCGGGGTTGCCCTGTGTAGAAAAGGCACAAAAGATAAATTAGCGTTTTCAAAAAGCCGGACTACTGGCGTGGCATGTAGACAAACAAACTAGCAAAGAGTGGCTGAAGATCTGCTCCTTTAATAACGGAGGGATGAGTGGCAGGTGTGAGGAGAGCCACGCCCAGACAAGAACAAGGGGAGAAGGCAAAGAAGGAGTGGAGCGGGGCCGGACTTTATCAGAACACGAGATGAGTCACTATTTGTACTTTTGGGCTGAGGTTTCTGAGAAAAGCTGATCTGAATATGTGACCAAGCCCAACAAATGTTTTAGTAAAACTGGTGATGACTAAATTCATTCTACATTGTGTCACATTTCATGATGTATTCTTTATTGTATATCGGCCGACAGTGGCTCAGTTGGTAGAGCATTGGTTTTTGAGCCAGAAGGTCATGGGTTCGAGCCCACCTCAAGACTTTCAACATCAACTCCGACTTTCTGCTGTCGTTGTGTCCTTGGGCAAGACACATCAAATCAAATCAATTTTATTTGTATCGCCCGAAATCACAACAACAGTCATCTCGAGGGGCGTCACAGAACCGCCAACTCCCAACGGCTGTGGACCAGTCCTCAAGGTCCAGGGAGTCAGGGTTTCGAGTCCCACCAGCGCGTCATGAAACAGAGAGAGGGACAACAGGTGAACAGCAATGCACAAACAAAATTTAAGCATTTACAACAAATTATCTGTGAAAAACGAGAACTATTTATCCAGCAGTCCGTGGATATGACGGGTTAAAAAAATATATATTAAAAAAGACAGTTCGGGAAAAGTTTAGTGCTTCATTATAGTCACAACAGTGCACTAAAAAGTTGTGTATGTACGGTGCATTAAAAACGTTGCTTTGTGTAGCAAACCTCTGGGAACACCAGCCACAGTGGGTCGGCTGCGGCTGTAAAGTGCCAAACTGCCGTTGTGTCCTTAGGCAAGACACTTCACCCCCATTGCCTAGAATGAGTCTGGTGTGTGTGTGAATGGTTGGTGGTGGTGGGAGGGGCCGATGGCACATACTGGTTGCCTCACTTCTGTCAGTGTGCCCCAGGGCAGCTGTGGCTACAGTAGTAGTTTATCACCACTGTGTTTGGAGAGAATGAATAATGACACATGTGAAGTGTCTTTGAGTTTCCAAAAAAGCGCTTTATAAAACCGATGCATTACTATTATCGTTATTAATGAATGTAAAAAAAAGTATAAAAATTACTCCAAATGATCCCACATCACTTACTTAAAGACATCCACGATAGCCACTGGCCCACTGCCCATCAATCGATTGGATAATTTATTTGTATAGCACAATTCATGTACAAGGCAATTCAAAGTGATCCAAACGAGCAATTTAAAAACACAGAACAAAACGCAAAATGAAATATACTATAATTTCACATTCATAAAATGTGGGTTTTCAACTTAGTTTTGGACATAGTCAGGGTAGAGGCTTGTTTCACGGCCGCTGAAAGACTACGATTACTATTACTATTACTATTACTATTACTATTGCTAATAATAATAATAATAATAAAGTATATGATGCATCTCGAAGCAGAGTCATGCCCACGTGCAGCCTTTTACTGAGACTCCATAAGCATTTGATTATAGAATCATTTATAGCAACTGTCGCACTTAGCATGCCACCCAACGCTTCCCTCGCTCTGCTGCATTCTGGGATATACTTCAGCTCTCTAATATTTACATAAGAGGAAGGATGATCGATGGATATGGTTTGCGGTCTTTATCATGCATCATCTATTAATTAATACGGCGGCGATAAAAAAAGGGACACGAGCTGAATCTCAAAATCCTCCGGGTGCAAAGTTACAGAGGGGTTTGACGTCTGGTGATGGATGAGGACGTCGCTCTGAGGCCGTGTAGAGCAAGTATTCATGAAAGAGGACACAAGGTTGGGAAAATGTGGGTTTTTGCTAAGCTTTTGTGTGGTTCACAGGCGACCCGAATACAAAAATCACCCGACAAGTTTTTTTTTTATTGTTGAATTTGGCAGGGCAAAATCCCGAACAGTCAGATATTGGATCCAATCAAAAGCCAAGCCCTGTCCCTTTCTCTAAGCCAAATGTTGTTGGCAAATGAAGTTAAAGCTGCGGTAACTACTTTCAAAAGAGGAAAGCGTAACAAAATCCACCGCTGTTTTTGGCCTCGGTCACAGCTTTAGATCAGATTCTTGGACAGAAACGTGAAAAAGAGAGAATTATCCTCACTCAGTTTTTCAGCTCTCTGCCCAAACTGTCAAATAATAACCTGTCATAGTGCGTAAGTATGCAAGTATAGCTCAGTTGACTTTACAAAGATGTCAATTCGCAAGCAACAGATCAGAGAATCAAACGCAGGAGATGCAATGATAAAAACACAAGTAGAGCCATTGGTCCATAAGTGGCGGAGACCAAAGTCTATACATGTTACATTTTTTAATGAGTTCATAAAAATGCTTATTACTACATACAAATTGTATTATAATCCGTAATTTAATTGAAAACTTAAGCTCATTGAGTCAGCTGTGTATGATTTCAGGCTGTATAAAAGTGCTGAGTAGAGAGAAAACAGCCCAAACCACACAACAGTGAGGAAGAGAAGAGGGAACTAAAGCCACAACATGATCAAAGAAGAAATCAAGTCCTGAACAGAGCTAGCTTACATCGTATCCTCTGGAGAGACTGGTCTATGGGAGAGACCTGCGGGACCGCCTCGGACTATCTACGCTCGGACTATCTACGCTCGGACTATCTACGCTCGGACTATCTACGCTCGGACTATCTATGCTCGGACTGTCTACGCTAGGACTATTTATACTCGGATTGTCTACGCTCGGACTATCTACGCTCGGACTATCTACGCTCAGACTATCTATGCTCGGACTATCTATGCTCGGACTATCTACGCTTGGACTATCTACGCTCGGACTATCTACGCTCGGACTATCTACGCTCGGACTGTCTATGCTCGGACTATCTACGCTCGGACTGTCTACGCTAGGACTATCTATGCTCGGATTGTCTACGCTCGGACTGTCTATGCTCGGACTATCTACGCTCGGACTGTCTACGCTAGGACTATCTATGCTCGGACTATCTACGCTCGGACTGTCTATGCTCGGACTGTCTATGCTCGGACTAGCTATGCTCGGACTGTCTACGCTCGGACTATCTATGCTCGGATTGTCTACGCTCGGACTATCTACGCTCGGACTATCTACGCTCAGACTATCTATGCTCGGACTATCTATGCTCGGACTATCTACGCTCGGACTATCTACGCTCGGACTATCTACGCTCAGACTATCTACGCTAGGACTGTCTACGCTCGGACTATCTACGCTCGGACTATCTACGCTCAGACTATCTACGCTCAGACTATCTATGCTCGGACTAGCTATGCTCGGACTGTCTACGCTCGGACTATCTATGCTCGGATTGTCTACGCTCGGACTATCTACGCTCGGACTATCTACGCTCAGACTATCTACGCTCGGACTATCTATGCTCGGACTATCTACGCTCGGACTATCTACGCTCGGACTATCTACGCTCAGACTATCTACGCTAGGACTATCTATGCTCGGACTATCTACGCTCGGACTGTCTACGCTCGGACTGTCTATGCTCGGACTATCTACGCTCAGACTATCTACGCTCGGACTGTCTACGCTCGGACTGTCTATGCTCGGACTGTCTACGCTCTGACTATCTATGCTCGGACTGTCTACGCTCTGACTATCTACGCTCTGACTATCTACGCTCGGACTATCTACGCTTGGACTATGTATGCTCGGACTGTCTACGCTCGGACTATCTACGCTCGGACTGTCTATGCTCGGACTATCTATGCTCGGACTGTCTACGCTCGGACTATCTACGCTCGGACTACATTCAGATGCAAAACTAGCGGTAATCTTTCAGTTATATATTGTGTTAGCAGTGCGTTTCTTTTGTACCATTTCATCAGTGATTGTTGTACAGCTTACAAGGAGTTGCGCTCATGCTAATGTTAGCATACGTATCAGATCACAAATAAAACTAGATGGCTCCGTGGGAGGAGAGCGTAGGGGAAATGAGAAGCCTGTGAGCGAGTTGGGGGCGGGGCTAAACATTCGAACCTTGCAGAAACGGGTATAGCTCCTTTAATGAAATCCATAAATGTTGAACGTCGAGTGTCCTGGATCATCACCACTGTCCTTAGACCCTCCCTCTAGATGCAATCAAGTCATTAAGAGTAAAAATGCATACAAGAAATCTTCATAACATTTATTTAAAAAACTCTCTATACAAGTGCACTCGGTCCACACAACAGACTCTGCTCTCTGATTGGATAATACATGTCCACTGTATTTTGTATATTAAGACATACATCAAGTCATACATTTTGTTTACATGTTTGACCTATTACCTGGGGTCACACATGCATGATTTAAAACACCCAAACTCCCAGAGCAGTAAATTTGGCTGCTTTTAGTTTTGGAAGTTCTCAGCCTGATCTTGTATCAATGTACATTCTTTGTGTGATTTTTTTTTTTAAAGGAGCAGTATGCACAAATCTGGCTAAAAGTGTAACTGCAACCTCTCTCACTCACCCTCTCTTCCTGACTCAGGTTGCCAGATATGCAGAAGAATCCAGAGTCACAGACTTTCTGATTGGTGAAACAATAGAGGGCGGGACGTCAATATAGGC